TTAATCTGGCAATTTGTAAAGACAGAACATGATAAGGCCCGCTGGGCCTTAGATCCCCTCTATCAACACTTAAAAATCAGGATAGCAAGACCAAAGCTTTTCACAGCAATAAAGCAAGACACATCTCAAAGTGAGCGTTGTTTGAAAAATAACCCAAACATAGGTACAAAAATACATCAAGGGGCAATTAACAGGGGAAAGTTCCCAGGAGAAGTGTGGCAAATTGATTTCTCTGAACTTCCAAGAAAAGGGGGGTACAGATACCTCCTTGTTTTGACAGACACATTTTCTGGGTGGCCTGAAGCATTCCCATGCAGAACAAAGGAAGAGAGAGAAGTAACCAAAACGCTGTTAAATGAAATCGTACCAAGATTTGGGGTACCTAAAAGTATATCCTCAGACAGAGGCTCACACTTTTGTGCCAAAATTGTAAAAACAATAAGTAAAGCGTTGCAAATCAAATGGCGATTGCATACACCTTACAGGCCCCAGGCTAGCGGGTAAGTAGAGAAAATGAATCATCTCATCAAACAACAAATTGCCAAAATATGCCAAGAAACCAATTTACAACGATACCAGGCTTTACCTATTGCTCTGATAAGGCTGAGAGCGAAGCCTCGCTCAAAAGAAAAACCGAGTCCATTCGAAATCCTGTACGGTAGACCTGACGCAATGCAAGTTGTAAACAGCGAAGCTGTAGATCAAATAGGCAATCGATACATATATGATTATGTAATAGCAGTAGGAAAATATTTTGATAAAAATGCCACAGTAGTAATAGACCACTAACCCAAACAACCTGACTGTAAATTGCACCCATTCCATCCCGGTGACTGTGTATATATTCAGAATCTTTTAGGAAAACCTCTGCAGGAAAAGCGGGAAGGACCATTCCGGGTACTACCGACCACCTTCACGGCGATCCGGATTAAGGAACGACCCGCTCGGATCCACTACTCCCGGGTCAAGAAAGCCCCGGAGAACCCTCGAGAGAAATCCTGAAGGAACCCACTACCATGGACTGGCAGACTCCAACATTATTCCTTGGACTCTGGATAAGTATAACCTTAACACAAAACATTACCGTGGAATGGCCACGGTCAAATGCCCAAATTATCGAATCATTACTTTGGACCGGGTCAGAAGATCCAGGGCCTAGGCCAGGTATAGCCATTTACATCCTACACAATAACAAACCATACACACAACGGGACTGGATTAAACCCCCAAAATCATTAAACACTGTAATAGGAAAATGGAATGAAGAAATACAAATAGGGTGCAGAGGTATTCATACTTTACACAAAAGACTAGACCGATTGGACTGGTAGTAAAGTCCTTGACCAACCAATTGCTCACAATTAAACAGATAGATAATAATATTTGGATTAAAGTAAAGGGTCCAATTTCGTGCCAAAAAGACAACATAAAAGAGAACAAACGACACAAAGCCAAGTGCGAAACAAAAATATTACTAGATCAATCGGTGTCAGTTCAGTGTACTCGGGCAAGCAAAAATAAGGGTATCTCCGAGATATTTATCATCAAGCTTGAAGCAAGGCCCACTACCAGACCACCTGAAAGAGTAACGGACAAAACCACAATTCCAACTCCAAACTGCAAGGGAATACATAATCTGACCTTTATAGGACCCCATGTAGTGAGACAATCTAATGAACTAAAATTACTATTAGATCCCACATATTCACTGAAAAGAATCCAAGTGTCCAGATAAACATAACACACATACAGAAAGACTGCCAGCCCTTCATACAACAAAGCCTTAAAGGCTGGAAGGCACGGCCGGCTGCCAGATCACGCCCACAACACGTGTGGAGGGATGCAACCGGATGGCTCGGCAATGGCTTAGGAGTGCTAAACGCAATAGACTGAGAAATACTAGTTAATAAACTAAGTGTTTTCACATCCAGCCTGGGAGAACTTCAAGTTCCTCTAAGCTCATCCACGCTTACTCTATCTGAAACACAGTCACTAGCAGGCTTTCCTTAAAATCACTATCTATATTGGTAAAGCTAACAAGAAAATTGCACTTGCCTTCCAGTGCTTCTTAAAGCAATACTTAAGCATCCCGACATAGAGAGGTTAGTCCAAGAAATAAATAGAAAAATTCAACAAACGATTTGGCAAGTTGAACATGACTCTACCGGCATAACAAATGTCCTGACTAAAATAAAGCAAACAGGAGAACACCATTGGTGGGATATCTTCACAAGACAATCCCCTTCAACCACAAAAGTGTTTAACTACCTAGTACACCCAGTGATAGCTATAGTAATAATTATGTTTTTGCTATCCTTTTTGAATATGTGGCTGTGGTATAAAATACACTTAACAATCAAAAGGACCCAAATAACGTGGGCAATAATTCACACCTATCCTCCGCTAGGACTTGACAAAAGAATTCGTAAGTTCTAAGAAAAGGGGGGAATGAAGCAAAACAAGGCTTTAGAAGGGTTAATCGAAGCATCTTACTGCAAAAAGTAAGATCCCCCTCCCCCTTCTCTACCTCGCTCAAAAGAGATTTTGTTCCGTACAAATTCTGCAGACCTAAAAACCCACAGGTACATTGCACAAAGAGCCCAGAGGTAATAAATTATAGCCAAATAGGTTAAGGTAGACATTTGAATAGGTAAAATAGGCCTTAAGCCTAGGCTTTTTTCCAAGCTCCAATGGATAGAACACAAAACAATGGAAAGTACAGAAGGTCTCCGGGGCCACCCG